CGGTCGTGGGGCTTGAACTCTGGGCCTGGGCGCTGTCCCTCAGCTCTTCAGCTCAAGGCGAGTGCTCTACCACTTGAGCTACAGCGCCACTTCTGGGCAGGATTTCTGATGGACAGAAATCCACAGACAACTTTCACTCTGAGCACTGGCAGAGGTTGCCCCCTAGAGTTCCAGCTCTTGCTCAGTGCATAGCCTAGGTTTATGTACTGAGGTCGGGATAGAAGTCCTGATTCCTGGGCCACCCGGGTCCTGTAGAACCAGTATCCCTGTAACACATGCTTCCTCCCAGGGGAAATCCCTAGATTCAGGACCCAGCCTGGGCTTACTAGGAGAGAAATCAATACACTTGGCTTGGCTGGGGAATTCTGCCCACAGCATTAGGCCCTCCTAGGAGGTACAGGCCCACTTAGGAAGCGTTTCCCTTACTGGTGTATGGGGGGGAAGGAGTCTGAGGGGAGAGACAACACTCGCTCAGGACCAACCTCACTTGGCGGAGAACTGGCCGGGCCTGGCCTTCTCCAGTTTCAGTCTCCGCTCCAGGGGAATCTCTTGCAGGCTGATGCCGTGGTTGCTGGCCCTGCAGGAGGAGGGAGGGCGGTGGCCTCAGGGAAGGGGACTGTGGGGGCGGGGCGGGGACTATGGGGGTCATGCCCAGCAGGGGCGAAGGGGCCCGCCTGGTGTTTCCCAGCCGCACCTACCCAGGTTGCAGATCGGGTGGTTTGGGGATGGGCTTTGTGAATCCTAGCCTGCCCACCAGCCAGTACGTGTCCTCAGCGCCCCTGCCCTGGAGGGATGGAAGAGAGGAGGGGGATTTAAGGCGGGCTGGGAGAGGGTTGGAGGCTCAGGGCCCGGGTCTTGAAGTGTTGTACCCCCAGGACACCCCCAGGAAGAGACAAGGTAGTGGGGAGCAGGAGCGAGGACCCCCAAACTCACCTTCAATTCCGTGCGGCCTCGCAGCTCCATCCGGAAGCCCTGATCCAAAGCTCGGAGAATCTTCACGGTACTCAAGTTCACGTGGATGCGGTAAGCTGAGGCGGGGCAGGGCGGAGCAGGGGGCCCTGAGCCCAAGACTCACATCCCCCGGTCCTCATCTCCACCCGAGCCCCGCACCCCCACCTCCACACCCCCAAACTCCTCCCACCCCTGTGACACTCACGCAACCCAGTGGACTCCATGCGTGAGGCAGTGTTGACAGTGTCTCCAAACAGGCAGTAGCGTGGCATTGTGAGCCCCACCACGCCTGCCACGCACGGACCTGCGGAGATGGGCGGGCTTGGAGGGATGGTACTCCATCTGAGGCTTTAATACACCCTCTACAGGAATGTGGACTAGGAAGGAAGTCTCAAAGGAAGACAGGGAGGGCCTAGGTACTGTGAGTTACCTGAGTGCAGGCCAATGCGGATGCGCACAGGTACCTCCGGCATATGGCGCATGCGGAAAGAGCCCACTGCGCTGAGGATGTCCAGGGACATGTTGGCAATCTCTGCAGCATGCCGCTGCCCGTTCCTCTGGGGCAGCCCTGAGGCTACCATGTAGGCATCCCCAATTGTCTCCACCTGGAGGAAGGGGTTATGTCAATTCAGCACTGAGCACCCACACCTCCCAGGTCACGGAGAGAGGCCTAACTTAGGCTCAACCGGGATTGTAACTGACAACCTGGAGATCCAGGCTTTAAGTCAGGGATTGGGCCAAGAGTGAAGTAAGGGAGGGCTGGGGAAGAGGACTAGGCTGATGGCCTGGGGCTAGTGGGCTGGGGACTGGTGCTGCTGAAACAGAGGTCAGGAAGTCTTGTGTCTACCATACACTACCTTGTAGACATCGTGGGAGCCAATGATGGCATCGAAGAGTGTGTAGAGGTCATTGAGCAAGTCTACCACCTCAATGGGCTCACTCATGGCTGAGATGGTAGTGAAGCCCACGATGTCACTGAAGTACAGTGTCACTTCCTCAAAATACTCAGGCTCCACAGATGAACCTGTCTTCAGGGCCTCAGCCACAGATCTGGGCAGGGGCAAGATAGTGTGAGTGTATGTGTGTGTGTGTGTTGGGGGGGAGGTGTCATTTGGAGGCTGTCCCAGTCAGGCAGGGCTCCAGCTGCCCTCTCCACCCACCCTTCTCCATGATGGGCACCTACGGAGGCAGCATCTGTGTAAGCAGCCGGTCTGTCTTCTGCTTTTCCAGCTCTAGCTCCTCTGTGCGCTCCTGGATCAGATCCTCCAGGTTGCTAGAGTATTGCTCCAGCATCCTCAGCATTGAGTCAATGATGTTTGTCTTCCGGCCCTTGTTGATGCTCTTGAACTAGGTGGAGGAGGAGGAGGAGAATTTGGTAAAGCTGCCATGCCCTGTCTTGTAAGCCCTCTTCTGGGGCTATGTTCTTGAGCACTCTTTCCCCATTCATCTTCTCATCAAACACCTGGAGGTTCTGGCTATGTGTTTTCAGATATTATTGGGAGGCACATGGGAAATGGGGGTTCCTAAGAGTCATTTTCAGCTAGGAATTGACAGGGCACTAGAGCCAGTTGACTCTTTGAACTCCCAGGCCAAGGGACTTTCTATCACAGTAAGCCAAACTCCTACTTGATTCTCATTTAGTGTTACTTGAATTAAATATTTCTCCCACCCTAAGGACTGCCTGTCCACCCAAAGGTCTCCATAGCCCCGATTCTAGCTCACTCCTATTGTAAATCTGCTCCACCAAATTCCTGTTCCTCAGGTTGTCCCTTAGAAGGTAGCCTGGACCGACATAGATCCTGCCTGCCTGTGGCCTTCCCAGGGAGCTAAATCTAGGATCCCAGTGGCTAGCCAAGTCCTTGCCCAATCCCAATCTCTGACCAGGTCAAAGGTGCGGTCTATGGAGGGCCGAAGTTCCGGCTGCTCTGCCCAGCACTGTGTCATCAGCTGGATGCACTCCATGGGCGCCTGGTCCATGGACACTGTGGGCCGGCACAATGGAGGAGGGCTCCGAACCATTTGTACCACTTCTAGAAGCATAAGGGGACTGTGAGGGCTGGTACCCCAGGCCAGAAGCTACTTCTAATTCTGGCCTAGTTGTTGACGCCTAAGGAGAGGGACTGACAAAGGGTCCTCTTATTCCTGAACTTCAGTGCTATGTGGAAAGGGATCTCTAGGAGCAATAAGAAGACCCTCAACCTAGGGCTTCTCAGTAAGAGGTGACATTAATAAACATTTATTGCACACATGATAAGGAAAGGTTAGGGTGATCAAGTAGATTTCTCAGCTAGTAAATGTAGCTTTGAATCTGGTAAGATTGCTCTCCTAACCCCTCAAACTGCCCACAGTCTCCTTTGGACCTCTGAGACGCAGAGAGAAGTCTGCTCAGTCCAACGAACGAGTAGGTTGAGTCTAGGATCAGGAGAGGCTCAAGAAAGAAAAACTCCTTCAGATCTGCTTCCATCCACCCATTCCTCCACACTTGGCTTCCCCCTGCCTTGATCCAGGAGACCTCAGCTTTAAGGGAGCTCCCATCTAATTTTCATCACTGGGCTTTGATGAAAAGAATCAGGCGGGGAAAGCCAGCCTAGGTCTGACTTGGCTCTGTCTTAACTTGAGTGCCAACCTGGCCAGAACTCTCCTTACCCTCGGGTGTCAACGCCAGCATGGCATAAGGGGTGCTGCGGCACACGACCTCCTGCATGATGATGCCCAGACTGAAGATGTCGCCGGCCAGAGTGCCCCTGCGCTCCAGGGCTGGGTCCCTAAGCAACTCCGGGGCTGTCCAGAGCTGATCTGGGGATAAAAGGGAAAGGTGCGTGAACTCACAGAGGACCGTGGCGGCGCTAGCCACAGACTCATCCGCACCCAGAAAGCGCAGGTTTATGACCTCCACACACTCTAGCCCCCAGCCCAAGTGTAGTCCCCGGGAAAGCGAAGCCATCTCAGAGAAAACCCCGCCCTCCCCAGCAGGCCACGCCCCGCGAGCCAGGCAGTGACCCCGCCCCCCTCAGTCAAACCGCCAATCAGAGCAGCCCTGAAGTGCAGAGGGGAGCTCGTACCCTCTGCGCTGGGAGGCTCCGGCAGCACTCTCTGCGCCTCCAGCAGTCTCCCGTGGCCGTGATCGGTGACCTTGAGCACAAACCTCCCGTCCACCACGCAGTTCCGGGACTTAAGCCGTCCGTGCGCCACGCCGCGGTGGTGCAGATACCTCATTCCCTTGGACCGGGATGAGAGGTAGCCTCAGTCTTCCCGCCTCTCCACCTCTCTTCCGTGAGAACACCTTCCTCTCCTCCCCCCTCCCTCCCCTTCCCTAACACCCTCCAGCCCCGCAACTCACCTTGATGAGGTCCAGGAGGAGAGAAGACTTGAACATCCAGTCCAGCTTTATTTCTCTCTGGGCAAGAAGATCGTACAGGGAGCCACGCGCACAGTGCTCCGAGACCACAGCCAGGATGCCTTCCCCAGGAGCTGCGGGGCTTTCTGCTGTCCCCGCCAGAAAAAGCCCCAGGTAGAGGGCCACATTCTCATGCCGGAGCTCTTGGAGCTGAAAGGGGTAAAAGCTGACAGGCATTTGACAGGGGGCAACGTGTGGAAGGGGCATTATTGAGTACTGCCCCAGTGTGTACACTGGGAACATGGGATTGAAGATGCATGAAATGGTTTTTAGGGCATCTAGTGTGTTGGTGAGGGGACTTCTGTATTTTGGGAAATACAATATAGTCAAGGGCCGATCACATACCCATCAGGTAGTGAACTTGAAGTTATAAGGGAAAGACAAACCACAGAACGATGATCAGAACCTAGGCTGGTTCTCTTTCATTAACAATAAAGTCAAGTCTTAGGGGAAAGTGCCTCCGGAAGAACTCCCTGACACCACCACCTGATGCAACAATGTGTGTGTGTGTGTGTGTGTGTGTGTGTGTGTGTGTGTGTGTATGCTGGTACTAGGGCTTGAATTCAGGGTCTTGTACTCTTGTTTGGCTTTTTTGCTCAAGGCTGGCACTCTACCACTTGACCCACATCTCCACTTCTGGCTATTTTTGTTTTGTGGTTAATTGATTTGTTTGCCTGGGCTGGTTATGAATCATAATCCTCAGATCTCAACCTCCAAAGTAGCTACAATGTCAGGCACTATATGAGCCACCAGTGCCCAGCATTGTAACAATCTTTTCAGGGAGAACAGAAAGAGGCTGACCATCTTCAGAGCGCATTCTGGGGACTTGGCTGGGGTGCTTTGCTTCCCGGTATCATTGTTAGGTGCATCTGAGACTCACACCCTCCCCAAATCAGGGAAGATGAGAATGAGCAGTCTGAGGAGTAAGTAGTCTGAGTAAGGCCACATGCACTGGTCAGGATAGAGTGCCTTCCCAAGCTGGTAAATAAGGGAGGGGGGCAGGCCTGGAAGTTGACTAAGGCTCTTTCTAGCTTTTCTTGGATCCACATCACCAGAAAAAGGCTTCTTATTTAAAACACCAGGTACTAAATGGTTTAGTCTCATATAGGCAGTTCACTGAAGTCAATACTAAGCAGTGACCTTGGGCTCCCTTAGAGGCCTCTGGGAAGTAGGCCAGGAAAAAGGGCTGCCAAGTGTTTAGGAAGAAGAGGGACATCAAGGTTGAAAGGATTAAAATAAGCCAGTCTATTGCTGCCTTGCAACTGTTTTCTACTTTATTCAGCCTGGGTCAATACACCTAGGATTATTCTGTGCAAAAAAGTCTGACAGCACTTGAAGCTCGCTTTTAACTTTCTTTTCTTTTTTTTTTTTTTGGTGCTAATCCTGGGGCTTGAACTCGGGGCCTGGGTGCTGTCCCTGAACTTTTGTGCTCAAAGCTAGTGCTCTACTACTTTGAGCCACAGCCCCACTCATTTTAAATTTTCCTATCATTCACCCAACAGTCAGCAAATATCCACTGGGTCTCTCTAATAAGCTAGAAATACAGGGGGGGGGGCCCAGAGGGAAGCCCTCACTCAGCTTGAAGTCCATGAGAGAAGCAAAGTAAAGAATAATAATAAGGAGGCTGGGAAGGTGGCTCAGTGGTAGAGCGCTTGCCTTGCATGCCTGAGGCCCTGGGTTCGATCCCTCAGCACCACATAAGCAAAAAGAAAAAAGCTGGAAGTGGCGCTGTGGCTCAAGTGGTAGAGCGCTAGCCTTGAGCTGAAGAGCTGAGGGACAGCACCCAGGCCCAGAGTTCAGGCCCCACGACAAGACCCCCCCCCCAAAAAGAATAATAATAAGGCAGCCCACAGATGAACGTATAGCTTATATGATTAGTTAACACATGATTTATCACATTTAAATTGTGATTAGACCATGAAAAGGAGAAAATGACAGATAACTTGCTGTAGAATGGAGGGAACACATAATTGAAACCCACTTGTATACCCCACTATGAAGAGAAGTCAAGGAGTGGGGGGAATTGATGGCTATCACATCCTCCATCATGGGTCTGACTCTTACCTTGGAAAAAACTGTTTTGGTTGCTGGGCGGATAGTTTTGTGATGATCTCCTGGGAATTTCTTCAGCCAAACCCAATCTCCCTGCAGCAGAGAGGATAGAATTAGGAACTCAGATGTTTGAAGCCCCATGATGCAAGGAACTCTAGAATCTCCTCATTCCACTTTCCCAGAATATGTCTTCCATTAGAGAGTCTCAGGAATGAGGAGTTCCATGACACAGATGTGTAAAGCCTGAAGGGCAGTCCCTGCCATACAAGATATGGCCACCAGTAGTCTCACTGAGTGAATTTTGTTTTGTTTTGTTTGGGGGCTTAAATTCAGGGCCTTGCACTGTTCCTTAGCTTTCTCACTCAAGGCTAGTGCTTTACCACTTGAGCCACAGCTCCATTTCTGGTGTTTTTCTGGTTGAATGGAGAACAGAGTCTCTTAATTTGTCTGTCCTGGCTGGCTTCGAACCATGATCCTCAGGTCTCAGCCTCCTGAGTAGCTAGGATTATAAGCATGAGCCATCGGTGCCAGCAAAAGTGAATGGTGACAAAGCCCTCCTCACTATCCCCAGCAATAAGAGAATACTGGGCTAGTGTTAGGTGTCTGGGTATTAGAAACCAATAGGCAGTTTCCTTTCTGGCTTTATTGTCCTTGGCTGTTGGCAGGATCATGGCATGTCAACTGTACAAACATGCAGAGGACCTGACCTTGGCTCAGTGATCTACTGCTGTCATCAGAATGACCAAGAAGCCACTTGATCTGATTTCTTTTGCCTTTGCAAATCACAGGCAGACCTATTCATTGGTAAGAGATATGGACTAGAAGAGAGTTATAAAAGTTTAGTACTGACTTCAAATAAGCATTTGGAAATAATGGTACATTTTTAATTGCCACCCAAAACTACATGTTTTGGATAAGGCCAGAACAACCTGCTCAAAATGACAATAATGTTCTCTCTGACAAAGGATCACAACGTCCGAAGGTGACCTAGTGTGCATTTCTACATTTTTCCCTGAACTGGAGATCAAGAGTTCTGTTCCTCCTTCTCAAGTAGCTGCACTCTCTCATCTCTAGTCAGTGTCCTAATGCCCTTCTGTGATGTTCTTTTTCTGCTTTAATGCTTGTGTTTCTAAGCCTAGTCCAAGTGAAAATGCAGAGGGGCGGGGTCAGGGTTCCCAACATGGCAGGAGAATGGCCTGGTGGCTGTGTGGAATAGCACTGTGCCTGGTCCCAGCATGCTTCATTGCACCTCCAGCATCCAGGGCAGTGTGACTAGCATTTGAGGAGTCCTCACCTGGATCAGGACTGGATGCAGAATCCATCACCTTTTCATTTTCTGGTTGGTCGTGGGGCTTGAATTCAGGGCCTGCACACTATCTGAGTTTCTTTGCCCAAGGCTAGCAAGCTACCAGTTTGAGCCACAGTTCCACTTCCAGTTTGCAGGTGGTTAACTGGAGATAAGAGTCTCACTAACTTCACTGCCTGAGCTGCCTTTAAACCATGATCCTTAGCTGTTAGCCTCCTGAGTAGCTAAGATTACAGGTGTGAGCCACCAGCACCTGGCCCATCACTCTATTCTTGGACTGGGTTTCTATCCCCATCTGGAGTTTGCAGGGTTCGATATGACTGTTTGTTCTCCTTGAGAGTGTGCCTCCTCCTTCTTCTGATCCTCCCAGAGCAGAACAAAGCCAAACTCAAGGGCAAGCTCACCTCATAGATGCCAATGTTGGTACTGTCCGGGGGCTGGCTGGGGACACTGCGAATGTCTGACACACTGTGAGTAGCTAGACTTGATCGACTCCCCTGGGCCACCTGGAGGGCAGAGGTCAATACAAGGGATCACAAGTATTCTGAGGTCAGAGTCCTGGATTGAGGTCAGGCTGAGTTTTATGGATTAAAGATGGGAGATGAAGGAATCTCAGTTACAAAAGGTGATAATGACATTACTCCCCAAGCACACAACACTTTACAGTTTACCCAAGGTTCATTGTCTTAGACTTTCACACTGCTCCCAGGAAAGCGGTCAGGGGCAGGGCGGTTATCCCCATTGTACATATTGAGGTTCTCAGAGCTCAGAGCTGAGACAGAGATGGAGGCAGAACCTAGACTTCGCACCTGGGGACTGGAGTGAGGGCTGGCTCAGACCAGGGACCAAATACATGGGGAGAAGACAGCTGCGTCCTGACCCCTGGTTTTCCTCACCTTTCGAGAGCTGCCTCCCAGTGGTTGGAGGAAGGTGATGTCATCCAGAGTCAAGATGATCTTGTTGGGGCCGGAGATCATTTGGATATGAAGAAGCCGGTGCCTGGTGAGGAACAGAAGTCATCCCCACAAAGAGGACCAAGTTCAGTGAGAAGAGGCCAGCCAGGGATAGGGGGGAGGGGTACTGTTAGTACTGTTAGCTCCAAGAAAGTGTAGCTAGACCCAAAGTAGACATCCCCTGAACTCTGCCAGCTCTCCAGAATCCTTACTCCCCTCTGTAAGAAAACTTTCCACTTTTTTCTTTTTCTTTCTTTCCTTCTTTCTTTCTTTCTTTCCTTCCTTCCTTCCTTCCCTTCCTTCCTTCCTTCCTTCCTTCCTTCCTTCCTTCCTTCCTTCCTTCCTTTCTTTCTCCCTCTCCCTCCCTTCTGTCCATCCTTTCTTCCTTCCTTTCGTGCTGGTACTTCCTTTTGTGCTTGAACTCAAGGCCTGGGCACTGTCCCTTAGCTGTTTTTTTTTTTCCCTCAAAGTTGGCTCTCTACCACTCAAACCACAACCCATTTCCAGATTTTTGGTAGTTAATTAGAGATAAGAATCTCAAGAATTTTCCTGACCAGGTTGGTTTTTGAACTCTGCTCCTCAGATATTAGGATTACAGGTATGATCCACAGGTGTCTTGCCCCTCTTCTACTTTCCTTTTTCTTTTTTTGCCAGTTCTGGGGCTTGAACTCAGGGTCTGGGCACTGTCACTGAGCTTCTTTTGCTCAAGGCTAGCACCTTACCACTTGAGCCACAGTGTCACAGCTTTTTCTATTGATGTGGTACTGAGGAATCAAACCCAGGACTTCATGCATGCTAAGCAAGCACTCTACCACTAAGCCACATTCCCAGCCTCCTTTTCTACTTTTCTAACATGTAGAGAGCCTTGGTCCCCCTCCACTCCCCTCACTCCCCCACTCACCTCATATAATGGGCCAGGAAGGCCCCAGTCAGCCCCATCCCTATGACCAGGAGGAAACCAAGGAAGACTAGACCTGGCTCCAACCCTGAAGAGACAATGAGAGGAGAGACTCTCAGGAACCCCTTTCCAGGGAGGCATGAAGTCAGACCAATCCCAGGAGATTCCAGGAAATGGGGGTAAGGGTTGGGAAGGAGGGAGGGTACTTTGGGAGAAGGCCTGGAAATTTTTCCAGAGGCCTTTGGGACTGCTCAAGAGGGATCTTGAGCAAGTCAGATGACAGAGAAAGATCTGGAAGAACTACAGGATAAGAGGTCCTTATTTTTCACCACTTCGTGAATGCTCTGAGTGGTCTCAGTGAGAGCTGGAGTGCTTTCCCTCACCTCCATTGCAGATGACATTCGGATCGAACCAGCAGGAGGGATCCGGCCCAGGCCCTGGACCACCATAAGGGAAATGCACTGGGGTCCCCGCGGAGTGGAGAGACCCCCGTGAGGGGTCTAGCATGTATGTGGCAAACAACTTGTCTCCTGCCGCGTCTGTGTCAAGTAGGACAAAGGAAGGTTCCTTGGTTCCTCCCAGAGTCCCGCAGAAGCCAGGGACTTGAGCATCCCTGATCTGGCGGGCCACTGCTGCTCCTGACACCCAGCCGCCACCTGCAGCCGCCAGTGCTCCTGCCATGCCCCAGGCCAATAGAAAGACAGCATCATAGATGGTGCCAAACAGCGGGGAGACCTGGAGAAGTAGTACAAACCCAGGGACCAGAGTTATAATCCATATGCTGATGGTATTCATTGTGCTTCACACAACCTTCAAGCTTTGTGCTTACTGGCGGTTACCACTTCCTAGTCAACGACTTCCCACTAGTCAACGACTTCCCACATCCCTTCCCATCGACCATCACTCCCTTTCTCCCCATTGACTCTTGCTTCTCTTATTGGTCATTCCCCCTCGTCTCCTCCGCCCCAATCTCTCTTTTCCAGACCTAAGTTCTTCTCTCAAGGTTGTTGATTCTAACTGCATCTTCGAAGTCTGTTTTTTTCCCTTCCAGTTGGATGCCCTGCATACACACACACACACACACACACACACACACACACACGATCTTACCACCTGCTATTCACCTAAAAGCTTCCTTTCTAATCAATCCTTTAGTTAGCTTCTGTTTTCTATGGAACCCCCGACCCCACCCCCTTATTTTTCCTTTTACCAAAATGGTACCTTACAGCCTCATTGGGCCTCTACTATGTTAGCATGCCAAGCAATGTGTAACGTAACAGACATGTTGAAACAGTACCTGTCTCAAAACTTCTCATTTAGTTGGAGACAGATGAGGAAGTTAAAGTAGTGCAATAAATAATGATAGGGGAAAGTGATGGAGCTTCAGTGACAGAATTAAGAAGAAGAGGAGGAGGAGGAGGAGGAGAGTTCCAGAAGTAAGTAACCATCCTTTAGGGGATGAAGCAGAACTATTCAGGAGAGAGTTGAGCAAGAGAGAGAAAGTAACACACCCCAGAAGCTCAGTGGCAAAAGAGAAGGGCACTTTAGGGAACTTGAAGTAGCTCCATTTGGCTGAAGTTCATAAAAGAGAAGAGAGACTCAACTCCTGATAAATCATGTGAGGAGACCTCCATCTATATGGGCACCAAGGGTCTCTAATCCAAGCTGAAATAAGCTATGCAGAAGCCACTGGGAGGCTTCAACTGGGTTGTGATGTGTGGAGTGTGTCCAGAGCCTGATCTAGTTGTTAGATGGGAGAGGCCTGAGGATTGAAGCAGAGACCATTTGGGAGATTATGCTCTGGGATAGGGGTCAAAGATGCTATGGCCCAAACTAGGGCCATTGAGGATGGAGAAAGTGAATGGATTTAAATGAGCTTTAGGAAGTAAAAGTGATGGGGCTTGGTGTCTGGATGTGGGAGGACAAAGTAGAAAGAATCAGGGTGACTATCTTGGGTCTGACTTGGGCGACTATCTTGGGTCTGACTTGGGTAACTAGTAGAAAGTTGTATTAGCCACAACTCACTTCACTGTCTTTACAGACAACTAAAGAGAGTTTCTTTCCACTTCTCTTCCCTTCTTTCTCCACTGTCTGACCCTTCCTCCCATCCTAATCTATTCCCATTCTCTCTCTCTCTCTCTCTCTCTCCACCCCATTGGCTACCCTAAATCCTCTTGGGGGGAAAGCCAGGGTATTGATGGAGGATATTTCAGTTCCTTTGATCTATAGTCCCCTTTTCAAATTATGACCTTTTGTGTTGGCTAATTTTCTGCCCATGTATCTAAATTCTTCTCTACATTGTTTCAAGCTCCTACCCTTTTGTGCCTAGATTGTCTGATCTGAGTTTCTGGAAAGGTAGGGAATCCTGGATATTAGATAGACATTGGAAATTATCTTTAGATTTGGTCATGGGAGCCTCTTGCTTCACCTAGGGCCTTTGGGCACTTACAAGCTGCCAAAGCCTTGATCTTCAATTGTCTTTGTTGGATACCAGAGGAAACATTGAGGGCCTATAGGAAATACTTCCAAGGCAAGTGCAATACACTAATACCAAGCAAGACAAAAGGAAACTCCAGAAAGAGCTGAGGTTCTGGCTTCACTGGCCCCGCCCTCCTGTTCAGTGGCCGCCTCCTCCCGCTTCTCACTGGCTCCACCCTTCTCTCCTGTCCACTTTCCTGGCTCTGCTCCCTCTTCGCTGCTCCTTGGGGGCCATCTACCTGCTGCAGATCCAGGTCTGAAGGCAGTTCCCGATGCTCCTGCGCTCTGCGCAGGCTGTCCCGCACGCTGCCGCCGGGAGGACAGTGGCGCGTGAGGGTGAGCACTGCATCGTGGGCCCGGCGAAGCTGGGAGCTGTTGGCCAGTGCAGCCAAGGCCTCCCGGCCTGGGGACAAGGCATAGTGGAGTGTGTCGAAGGGCAGGAAGACCAAGGAGCCATCAACCAGGCCTAGCTCCTCGGCGGCCTCCAGTAGGTAGCGCTGCTCCTCGCCGCCCAGCAGCACCGAGTGCATGACCATGATCACTACTGCGGACAGAGACGGGACTCGCTGCGCTGCGCGGTTGCCCGCAGGACCCGCCCAGCAATCTGCGGCCACCCTGCAGGGGAACCTACCTCTGACCCGAGGCCCATCCTGGACCCTCCTCAGGGCCTCGCGGGCTCCGGATAGGTCCGAGGTTTCCATGGTGGTCACCAGGGTGACTGGCAGGCCCCGGGCCCTGAGTGCCTCGGACAGAGCACGCCCCGCTTCCACCCACAGGTCCTGGGGCGCGGTGATCAGGGCCACGCGCGCCCAGCGGAAAGCCCGAAGGAGGACATAGATGGCCTCCGCCGCAGGGGTCACGGCGGGGGCCGTGGTGCCCACCGCCCGCGTCCCGGGGCACCCCCAGGGCACCAGCGCGACCCCGGCCTCTTGGGCCAGTAGCTCGGCCGGCCGGCAGGCGGCAGGG